CAGTGGAAAGAGACTGAAAGCAGGAACAGCATCCAAGAAAGAAAACCTCCTGCAGAGTCCCTGTGGCCAGGAGTGTTCACAGCACTCCCTCCCTGCCCTGGGGACCAGGGGGTTTGATCCTCTGGCTCCAGCAGCACAGAGCAGAGCTGAAGGAGCTGCCTGTGATCCCTGTCTCAAACACCAGGGCTGCAGAGAGGCACTGCTCATAACCTTCACACCTGAAAGCAGCTCCCTCCAGCAACCCCTCAGCAAGCACAGGGCCCCGAGCCGCGGGGGATGCAGCCTGCAGGAACACAAACCCTGCTGCATTTCACACAGACCAGCAGCTCCTTGGATCTGTGAGCAGACAGATCCGTTGCCTCCGGTTCCTGCTGGAATTCAGAGCCACGGAGCAGAAACAAGGAGTGGATCAATTAAACTCTGGTCTCTACATGGGCAAAGGATGTTGGTTTACAAAGGCTGGCAGTGATCACTCACAGAGCAGGAGGTGCAGAGGCTGAAGAGAAGAGCAGCACAGATATCTTCCCTCTTTGCAGCAACCCAGATGCTGTGGGAGGAGGGGGAAGTGAAGCACAGCACAGAGCCTGTTTCCCTTCTCCCTTTCCCACCCCTCAGCCACGCTCCATGCGAGGCCAGATAAGGCCTTTTAGCACACACAGCTGGTTTGCTGGGAAAAAAATCCCTGTGCTGCTTCCCAGGAGAGCAGCTGGGCTCCCACCAGTGCCCCAGGGCCAGCTCTGCCACTGTGTCCCTCTGCCCTCAGCTGACCAGCGGGATGCACTCGGGATATTTCAGTCCAGGTCCCAATCTGTGCACTCCCAGCTCAGCAGAGTGCAGTGGCTGCTGCTGAGGCTAAGCAGGGGTCGTGGAGCAGTGCTACATCTGTGAATTATTTGTGTTCTGTAGCGTGGGGATGCGGGGTCACAGAATGAGAACATTCTGTGTCACCCCTTCTTGCTGCAGAAAATCTCACCCAGCTTTGGAAAGAACCAGCTGATATTCCCTGCTCAGAGATCCCTTAACTCATCCCCAGACTGAGAGTAAAGCAAATACTTCTTAAATTTCACTTAAGAAATGCTCAAGAGAAGAAAACAACGCTGGCAATGAGACAAAAACAAACCATCCTCACCAATGCATGAGACAGCATCAGCACTGCTGGGTGTAATTCTCAGAAACCAGCCCCAGCTTCTACCTGGAGCCCAGCAAAGTTCTGGCTGTGTAGCCCCCAAAGCAATAGGCAGGTCTATACAGCCAGGCTCAAAGATCCTATAATTGCCAAAAAAAAGAAAAAAAAATCATTTCCATTGAAAGCACTACAAGCGTTTCTGTACAATAGGAATATTTTAGCTCCTGGTTTTCAAAGTGCTTCCACTTAACTGCTGTTAGAAACGCCTGTCTCAGTGGTTGTGAGCCCAGAATCTCAGCAGTGTCTTGCTTTAAAGGGACGTGGCAGTGCCTGGAAACTGGAGCTGATTCCAGCTCGGAGCTGCACATGCACAGCCAGCCCTTCCTTCCACAGCACACCGACAGCTCTCAAGGTATTTGTAAACCCTCCTTCCACCAAAAGACATTTTATGAGCCCTGCCTCCCTCAAAATGTTCTCTGTAAGCAAGTTCATGAGGATTTTCTGTAAAAGCTGGACGAGGAATGGGCAGAGGGATGATATTCACACACGGCACTGCTCGGCGAGCATTTACGAGGAGGTAAAATTTACAGTGTGATGCTGCTGGTGGGGAGGTGCAGGGAACTTCTGATTGATCTTTTGATCTTCCCTGCCAGTGGGATACGAGCCCAAGAGGCTTCTTCCAGCCCCCTGTAGCGAGTTGTGCTCATGCTGCTCTCTCCTCCTCCCAGAGGATGCACACTGAGGTTTAACGCACTCGCCATCGCTACAGAGAATTATTCCGGATGTCACACTTCACTCCAGCTGACACGACCTCAAACAGACAGAAATATCTGACCCCAACCTGCTTTCCTCCTTCCCTGTTCCTCCCCAGCAGCTGTCAGAGACAAAGACAAACCATTCCTCTCCTCGAATTTACATTCTGCTTAGAGCACCCCGAGCATTCAGCCCAATGCAGGAGATGCACTTCAAAATATTTAAACCCTCGTGTGATGTTGATCAAGTTCAGGTAACTCAGCTCTGAAAGGTATAATCTTTTACCAGCTACCATATTATAGAAGTCAATCAACTCCTTAAAATGCTCTGGAAGTCAAGCTTCCCTAGCACTCAATCTGCCATTCATACTTCTACACACAGGTGAATCATTTCACCAGAACTTATCTAAATAAAGCAAAGCAAGCATCAAAGAAATGAAAACATCAGGAAGAATCCAGACAAGTCTGGCAACACTGGCTCTGATTTCCAAGGGTGAAGGATCCAACCCTGCAGCAGGCTGGAGCTGGAGCAGAAGTAACATATGGACATCCAACCCAGATTTCCAAATTTAGTGTGAAGATAAGGCCCAGGCAAAGTTGCCTTGAAGCCAGAAGAGCTGGGCAGCTGGGGAACCATCCCTTCATTAACAAAGGACTTAAAAGAGATCATTTTCTGGCTAAGCCACTTGCAGGACCCTTGCCTCTACGCAGTTGTGTGTAGTTTTTAACACTGTGGAGAAATATTCTTGCAGGGACCAGAGGCAGGTGGGATTTGGAATGGAGTATGTGGGCCAGACCCTCAGCAAATGTAAACCAGCCTCGCTGTTTGTCCTCACTGCAAGGAGGAGTCTAAATAAAAAACATCTTCCCAAATAAATAAAAACTGCGTCACTCATCTCATTTTCCTCCTAAAACACTAATATTTCTCCCCTCAATCTCTGTTGATTGCAGCTGAAGTTCAGCCTTAAAAGCACGGTCAATGATTTCAAGAGTTCTGATTAAAAATCTTCATTAAAATAATTTCAGGAGGCATTATCTGCTAGAGTTAAGGTCTTTCCCCCTGATGCTCACCACTGCTCTTCTAAAGAAGCCTCTCACCAATTTTTATGTTCAGACAAGGGGAGCTCTCGCATTCGCGGCACGCAAGCAGCTCTCATCATTTGGAGGGACTTTTTCCTCATAAAATAAATATGAACCGAGAGAGAACACGCATTTGTCCAGAAGGAGGATTGCTACAGACGCCCGAGCTTTTGCTTTGAAGCAGGATTTCGTGTGCCACGCCGAGCGCTCCCGTCCTCACAGCAACGCCGCTGCCGAGGGAGCAGCGAGCCCGCAGGGACAGGCACGGGCTGCTCGCCCCTGGAGAGGCACCGAACGAAGGAAGAGGGGAAAGGGCAGAGCTCTGCCACCAGCAGCGAGTCCCCACACACCCCTGCAGCCCCCGCGGAAGGAACCACCCCGGGGGTCCCGATCCATCCCATCCGCACTTCCCAAACTTTCCCGGGCAGGACAGGGCAGGGCAGGGACAGGGATGGGGCAGGACAGGACAGGGCTAGGACAGGGACAGGGACAGGGACAGGGACAGGGACAGGGCAGGGATAGGACAGGGACAGGGCAGGACAGGGACATGGACAGGGACATGGACAGGGACAGGGACAGGACAGGACCCGCGGGGTTCAAGCAGCTCTGCTGCCCCTGGGGGGTGCGGGGGGAGCTCTGAGGAGGCTTGGGGGGAGATTCGAGGGTCTGGGGGCTGCTGAGGATCCCGGGTGCAGGGAGGGAGTGCCAGGGGCAGGAGGGGCATGCCTGGGGGCAGGAGGGGCATGCCTGGGGGCAAGAGGGGAGTGCCGGGGGCAGGAGGGGAGTGCCAGGAGCAGGAGGGGAGTGCTAGGGGCAGGAGGGATGTGGGGGGAGTCCCGGGGAAAGGAGGAGGGTGCAGGGTGCAGGGGAGTCAAGCCGGGATGTTGGGGGACACTCCGGGGGGCGGGAGGGGACTGTCGGGGTGCAGGAGAACAGGCGGGGCTCCGAGGGGGGAAAGGGGGTGCCGGGGTGCAGAGGGAGGCTCTGGGGGGTAAGAAGGGGTGCCGGGATGCCGAGAGGAAAGGGCGACGTTCTGGGATGTAGAGGAGGGTGCCGGGGGCAGGAGGGGGTGCCGGGGTGCCGGGGGAGGATACGCGTGGAGCTCCGGGACGGACGCTGGGCGGAGCGGGGCAGCGCGGAGCTGTCCGGGAACAGCCTGGGAATTATCCGGGAATTACCCGGGAGCTGTGTAGGAACAGCCCGAGAATTATCCGGGAGCTGTCCGGGAATAGCCCGGGAATTATCCGGGAGCTGTCCGGGAATAGCCCGGGAGCTGTCCGGGAGCTGTGCGGGAGCTGTCCGGGAATTATCCGGGAATTATCCCGGAGCTGTCCCGGAGCTGTCCGCGGAGCCGGTGCTGAAGGCGCGGGGAGCAGAGCACAAACGCGGCCGCGGGAGAAGAGCCACGGGGCAGCCGGACAGGCGCCGGGGTGGGCAGTGGGATGGACACAGGGGTCCGGGTGGCCCTGGTCGGACCGTGGGAAGGAGGAACTCTTGGGCAGAGGATGGAAAGGGAAAACCCTTTGGTGGATGGTGCAAAGAGGGAAGCCTTGGACAGCCCTCGCAAAGGGGGAAACCCTTGGATAAATGACTCAAGGGGAGACCTCTCGAAGCGGCAGCACAATGGGAAATCGTTTGGAAAGGTGGCACAGCCGTCGGAGAGCCGCGGCACTGGGAAAGGAAACCCTTGGAAGGGTTGGCAGGGGAAACTCATGGAGAGCCAGAGCAAAGCATAGAGAACCGAGTGGGTGCTTCACAGGGAGACTCCTTGGGCAGAGAGTGCAGCAGGAGAACCCCTGGACAGCGGTGTAAAAACGGAGCCCTTGGGTAGCAAGTCCAAAGGGGGAATCCCTGGAGGAGCCATACAACAGGAAACTCTTGGACAGGCTGCACAGCTGGGAACCCTTGGCTGGACACTCAAAAGGAGGCCCCTTGGTTGGGCACTCAAAAGGAGGACCCTTGGTTGGGCAGCACACTGAGAAACCCTGAGCACACTCTGCCAAGGGGGAGCTCGGTGAGGGCGAGCAGGGGAAGGAGCTCACCTGTGAATGTTCATCTCCCGGGGCGGGCGCCGCGCCTTGTCGTAGGCCACCTTGGCAAAGACGCCGGCGATGAGCACGAAGGCGATGGCCCCGCACGAGATGTAGACGGTGGCGTTGGTGCTGTCCTTGTCCGGGTCGTACTTGTTGGCGTCCCCGTCGCCTCCGTCGCTGCCGTCGGCGGGCAGGGCGCCGCTGGCCGTGGTGGGGTGGGCCCACTCGGGGCTCTTGTAGTTGCGGCACAGGCTCTGGTTGAGCTTCTCGGCGCGCTTGTTGCAGCAGAAGCGGTAGAAGCAGGTGCCGCAGCAGTAGCGGAAGCCCGTCAGGCTGTTGTTGCACTCGAACTCCTTGTCCCACTGCCCGCTCACGTCGTAGTACCCCCAGCACGTTTCGTGCGCCGGGGCCGAGCCCCCGCCGCCGCCCCCGCCTCCGGGGGCTGCCTTGCCGCCCCCCGCGCCCTTGCCGCGCCCGGGCAGCGCCGTGGGGGCGGCGGCCCCCGGGCCCGCCAGCGTCTGGTTCAGGAGCTCCTTGCCCGGTTTGGGGGTCCGCCGCGGCGCCGCCGCCCCCTGGGTCCGGTTGCCCTTGGCGCGGGGGGGCCCGGCCGCCTGCGCGGGCAGCAGCAGCAGCAGGGCCAGGAGCTGCAGGGAGAGCAGGAGCAGCGGCAGCAGCAGGTGCCGCGGCCCCATGGCGAGGGGCGAGGCGGGGGCGCGGCGCGGGGGGCGCGGCGGG